ATACTCTAAGCACCCTTTTGACATTCTGAATTTGCATTTTCGAAGCACCAGAAAATATAATCAAATCATCCGCAAACTGTAAATGAGACACATATGCAGATCCCTGTTCTCTGCCAATCACCATTCCAGAAAATAAACCTTGAGACACAGACCTTCGTATCAATAAATTAAGTAGCTCCCCTACTAAGTTAAACAGCAAAGGAGACAAAGAGCAACCCTGTCGAAGGCCTTTAGTCATTAAGAATTCCTCAGAAGGTACTCCATTTACAAGAACCGAAACAGAAGCTGTGGTTACACACTGCTTAATCCAGCCCCTCCATCTGGAACCGAAGCCCATTTTCTCCATTATTTTAAATAAAATAGACCACTCAACAGAATCGTAGGCTTTCTTGAAATCAACCTTGAATACACAGCCCTTGAGACCATGTTTTCTCCAATAATCCACTCCTTCATTAGCAATTAAAGAACATTCCAGAATATGTCTACTTGGTATGAAGACGAACTGTGTTGGACTAATGATGTCTGAAATGCAACCCCTCAATCCCCTCAATCAACCTTTTAAGATCATGTTTTATGAGACAACTCAGAATTTCCCTGTACTTTTTCAACTTGAGCATGGTATCTGCACAAATTGCCAATTAGACTAACATAAAAATGTGAAGAACTTAAAACCTTTATCCCTAGAGAGACGACGAGAGTATATAAACAAAGTTGCACCAAAGATAGCAAGTCAGAAGATCTTGTATGTCAATCAGGATAAGTTACCGATGCATAGTTTCCTAGTTACTGCAGAGTACTTTGTTGTAGAAAATTATGCAGTGACAGTTTGAGTTTCTCCTAGACATATCAAGCATTGAACAACTTTGCGGGCAAATGTCCACATAAGTTGAGTCGTTCACTATTACTTTCCAGATCACATTATTTTATGTGAACCAATTTCCTAATTTACCTTATGCAGGGTTTGTTAGTGATCCTTATGAGGGCAATGCATGGCATGTGGACCACATTGTCGCTGTTTATAGGGGGAGGTATATTATTGTTCAAGAAAATACTTTTTCTTTGTTCTTAACTACTTGTTTTACTGCTATTCTGTTAAATTGAGCTTAATGTTGGTTTTCATTATGTATCCAAAATTTAATGTGAACGCAGGCTATAGAATATGAGGACTCTTTATATGTCTTGTCATGATGTCACTACTACAGAACAATGCGCTGAACGAAGGTCAATGTGGACCAAAGCAACGAGAAAAATTAAAGCCATTTAAATGCTGTTCATTTCTATGTTATAACATGTTCCAACCCGAATGGTTAGTCATTTAAATGGGGATATACTTTTCGGGGAGTTAAACCTTTTGTTGTTAGTTACTTATTAGTGACAATTTTAAATATAAACATAAAAAACTGTTTTGGTGACTTATTTTAGTTTTGAATTTTATATGCTCGATTCAAAATGAAATTACTGGTTGGAGTTCCATGTGATTTTATGGAACAAACTCCCTTGTTTTGAGGAACATAGATTGGAATCATGTTGAACCCTGTTACATTTATCTCCTATAACTGCAACTAATCTTTCTATTTCTCATCAATTACAGTTGCTCCAACTACTGCTCCTGCTACAGTGGTTGTCCCTGCTACTGTTTTCCCTCCGCTTCAACCAATGCTGAAACATACTTACTGGATGTTCGGCCTGATTAATTCATTCGCCATCGTTCCAGTTACACCTGAAAACCATGCTTAAATTTGATGCCAATGCAAACTCCAGTGCTAATTTGTTACTAATCAACCGACATTTAAATTTGTAAACCAGGTAATATGATTCTTTTAATTGTGGGACTTGTTAAAGATATTCCCCTATTTCCTCTTTCCTATCTCCCCCTTATTTACTCTGAAATTTTTCTTCTTTGATTCTAATGGACTAAAATATATATATTTTAGTTAATCTGTTGCCATCTATATTTATGTTATATTGTTCTTGATTCAGGGTTTTGATGATCCATTTGGTGGTGTTCCTTTTAAAGTTGTCCCTTCTACTGATCTATTTTCAGCTGCGCAACAAAGTTATACTTATATGCCTACTTTTGCGAATTCGGAGATAATCGAAAACCTCATCTTTGGGGACTCATTCTCTGCCAATGTTTACTTTGCACCTAGTGTGTCTAGTGTTAAACCTCCATCAACAAACTCCCAGTTTCTGCTTTTAGAATTTTCAACTCCAAATGAGGAAAATGATTTACCGGCTGATGTTTTTCCAACTTCTTGACCTGCACATCCAGGGATTAATGTGTATGGGCAACATGTCCTGCCAAGTGTTAATCCAGATAATCAACCACCACAACCCAATGCTAATCACTGCAGCCAACCCTAATTTTGTACCATATTTACACAATGACTTTCTCTTGGTAATTCCCGAGGAAAAAGGGAAGCCTGAGATTTTCTTGAAAAGGTATATACACTAAGGACTGTAGATATGGTTATCAGCATTTACTTCTTGAAGTTTCCATGATACATAATAATGATGTTTGCAGGAATATACGCAAATGTGCGAGTGGTGATGATCTACCTTCAACATGTCGGGCGACTGAAGGACTTAAAATAGTTAATGGTTTGGAGTGCAAGATCACTTGCAGTTCTTCCAAGGTATATCCAATTAGATATTCCTTCTCACATTAGTGGAATTTACTTTTTTTCCCGTAAGGTTGTATTTTCTTGTAAATATATGTATATGATAGAGCTCAGAGGCGGGGGCAAACAAGTGGGATCAGCATTTACATCTTATGTGCATGGGTGTGCATATATTATAGCAGAATTTTTCTTCAAATTTGTCTGCAATTAATTTTTTTATGTGGTTTATAGTTTTCTCATATTACATGATACTTTGGATGAGTCACATTGGTGAAATCTAAACAAGAGTCTTCACTGTGTTTCATCCACAACAAATGAAAAATGCGAAGTAATGAAAGAGATAGAAGTATCTACTCTATCTCTGCTCCTTCTAATACCCAAAAAAAGTGGCAACTTACTATTTATGGACTGCTCTTTTTATTAAAAACATAGTTTTACTGTATTTTTGTGTGTGGGATGTGTAGGGAAGAGTTTAGATTCTTTCTAAAAATGAGAATGGCAAAGATGCAGGTGTAATTGGCATTGTCTACATACACTTTTTAAAAACATAGAAGTATCTACTCTATCTCTGCTCCTTCCAATACCCAAAAAAAGTGGCAACTTACTATTTATGGACTGCTCTTTTTATTAAAAACATAGTTTTACTGTATTTTTGTGTGTGGGATGTGTAGGGAAGAGTTTAGATTCTTTCTAAAAATGAGAATGGCAAAGATGCAGGTGTAATTGGCATTGGCTACATACACTTTTTAAGTTTTTTTTTACCAATTCATAGATACCCATCACATTTCAGACTATGGTAGGGAGATATCAAGATTCATATGATTTTTTTTGCCTATAATCGACATGCATATGGCTGTTTCTTCAAGGATATGTCTCTATTCCTTCCATAAATCTTTTTTGGTTATATATATTTAATTAAATTAAAATTTAACAACAACATACTTGAAAACTATTTTAATATATGAAAAAGACTTTTCACTACCCCCAAAGAAAGAAAAAACATTCTTGTTTCAGGTTACTTTACTTTCATATATGACATATATACACACAATGTATACTAACCATGTTACTATACTTTTATTTCAGGGAAATGGGGGTGGGGTTCCTTTTACTTTTTATCCATATTAATCTTTTCGTTTGCTTGAATTACTCTTTTCTGCTAGAAGGTGATTTCTTTCCAGACGAAAGTGGACAACCGGGGTAAAGCGCATGAGATTGAGGACGACAGAACTTTGAGGAGATCATATGGCTTGTTCATAGGTATCTTAACTTTTCTCGTGCATGCTTCCAGCCTATTTAATGTTTATATGATTTGTATTTTTATAGAAATAATTTTAAAAAACTGTGCTCTTATTAGTGTTATTCTTATTTGTTCTTACATCAAAAGAGTTTGGATCCTCCACATTCTTTTACTTTCAGTGTCAATTCTTCCTAGCCAATCAAATTGGGGTAACCCCATAGCAATTTTTTTTAGGAAACTTCTCGATATGGTAAATGCAAAATTATTTTACACTAGTTTGATATTCATGTTGAGCCTCTCTACCATTAGTCATCTGTTGGAAGTATAACTGTTCAAAAATTGCCAGGAAGCACCAACAATGCATCTGAATATAAATAGGATACATGGGGATTATAATGTACTCTTTAACGTGTACTATCTTTTCCATTTGGTGATTTAAGATTTTATTGAGTTTCACAGAAGCTAATTTAAGTCTGAACTCTGACATTTTCATGGAATCCAATTTTATGGTATTAGTTTTCAGTTTTTAGAAAAAGTCACATTACTTTTGATGAAATGCATACTTGGTATACATTCTGAAAATAATAATTGTCTGCTTGGCGTGATGATTTCATGTGCAGTTGTTCGGAGATCCCAATAACTGATGTATCTCCGCCTTACACTGGAATGCTCTTCTTAAAATTACCTAGTTTGAATAACGTGTATCTATTTGACATTCCTACTTCGACAAGGCCCTCGTGACTTTTGCATCACATTAGCAGCTGTCCATATTATAGCCATGCCAGAAACTTTCGTGCCAAATCGTATTGCTTTTATTTTTTGTATTTCAGTACAAAATGTGTCTTGTTTTCCCTTTTTTATTTTCTAAATTAAATAAACTGATACTATTATTTTTCATGTTTGCTCGGTTGTCAAAGTGAAGCATGCAGGGCTTTTGGGATCATATGGTGTTCAAATCAATCACTTCCAAAATGAATTCTGGTTTGCTAAAGCAGCTTGACTTTGATGATTTGCTTTTGCTGCCGGCTGATATGGATCCTTCTACATGTCTTGAAAAATTATTAAGTTGCTGGCAAGATCAGAAAAATAATTCTTGTTGAAAAGCATCATTGTTTAGTGCTATCTTCTATGCTTATGGATGCCATATCTTCGTCTAGGTTTATTAAAGGTATTCTTACTCTTTAATACTGCTTCAAATGACATCTGGAAGTTCTTTATGCTTCATTGAAAAAAGAAAATACAAGCTTGTTTTCTGAATGTATCTTTGTGTTCCCTAATGCATTAAAACATTTTGAGAAATTTAGGTGTACCTGTTTATTGGGAATTATGGGTTCACCTTGCAGAAAAGTAAAAAAATCCTTGATTGAAGTTTTCAAGTTGCTATATATGAATTTAAATTTTTACTACTACAAATACAAATTTGTTTTTTTGCAGGTTTTTAATGATTTCATTGGTTTTGGTGGACCACTGCTTCTGAATAAGCTAATTCGGTTTCTTCAAAAAGGTTTTCATATCTCTAAATCTAATTCTTCTTGAAAAGATAGTTGTGGCCACTACATCTTTAGTTTTGTTGTAGCACGCTTTTCATTCTGTAATATCTCTCCATGCTGCAGAATGAACTTTTTTGCCTTTTCTGCATTTCACTTAGTAAGATTCATAGTTTTGTGCTGTTAACTTAAGTCTTCGATGAGTTGGGTCATGTTATTGTTTTGGTCTTTTGTTGGTTCCTGCTTTTGTCCCATGTGAGATGATAAAGAGAGTTCAACAAAAGGTTTCTTAGTATACTAGGATTTTGGGTTCCTACCAGTTTCTAAAGGAAGAACTGGTGTTCCTGATCGCCTCTCAAGAAAAAACATCCTTGTCATTAGCAGGATTTGATGGGATTGTGGGGAGTGAAGAGTAATGGTAGGGAAGGAGTGAAAATGATACTTTATTGTTAAAATTTTTCGACTGTATACAAAGTTAGCCTATATACGAACATTATGAAAGTTAATCTATTTAATGTGGTGCTTATTGTTTCATACATCAATGATAATATGTTCTGTTAAATGCATGTTGCTTTAGATATCAAGTCGGCATTCTTGTTATATGCATATTCGGTAATTTGAATATCTCTTGCAAACTTTATAAATTCAGTTAATCTAAGTTCCGCTCATTTTGTTAAGTTTTACAATTTTCCTATGACCATGGAATCTTGACTTTTCCTTGTACTCTGATTGTAACTAACTAGTGTATGTAATAATTAATTATAATGAAGTTTTAGTTGAAATGCTTATGATTGACCTTGCTATTTCAACTTCTTTTTCTTTTTTCAGGTTCTGGAAATTTGGATGGCTATGTTCTTGCAATATCGTTAGGCCTAGTATCAGTTCTCAAGTGAGCTTTTTTTCTCTTTAAATAATCAATAATGATTTAATACATTTCTCTATTATTTTGTCTATGTTTGTGTCTCCTTGTTTTGGTCCGTCAGATTTTGCAACTAAGAAGTGTCTGAAAGTCAAGTTTGTCAAGAAAAGATATGTTTAACATAGGTTTGGGTATTATATTTAGTTTAGATCAATATCAAGTAAAGCTACAATTTTTCATGTGATGGATTCTTGTTCTTTTATTCCTTCCTGACCGCTAGAAAGCAGATAACATGAGGATTGATTTCGTTGTCGCAATAGTTTACTTTCTCTTAAGCCTTATTCTTATCTACATACTTATTAAAAACATAATACAATTGGAAAGTTCACCGGAAACTATTAATGGGTTCCTAACCTGCTACACTGGTATATTATTCAGATTTCTAATATATTCCATGAATTAAGAATATGCTCACTTTTCTTCTTATTTATGTTAAGATTGCATTTCATGTAACACCTTTTCTTTTCTTTTTCTCTTTCAAAAACTATTCTTTGTCTCGAAGAATGATTCCAGGCTACTTTTTTCATATTTATGAGAAGAAGTGCCAGAACAAACTGGACGATAAATTCTTCTTTACATAGATTATGTGCTTTCATTTCCATTTTAATAATGTCGAATGAGAAATTCTTATTCTTCATGATTTCATGCCTCTTGGAATGGAAATATATCTGATTTTTTTTGGAAATATATGGTTTATGCATCACCTGTTGCTCCGGTTTGAAGTTCAAATCCTTCTTATTTATTATCATGCATCAAACTAAGCAAGTAATATTCTACATACCTCCCCTTCCCCATTCCCTTTAATTCTGGCTCTTTTCTATTTTTCCTTTTTGATTGGAGTAGCAAAAGATTGTTTTTACTTTTTTTTAACCCGAGAAATTTACTAATGTTTCAAAAATTATGTATTTATACACGTGTTTATATATAAAATCTAGGTAAAATATTCAGAGAGGGTTCTTCTACATCTTATAGTAGTCATTGGAGCATGTTTATCATGTGTGGATGTCATATTGCTTACAATGAAAAAGATTCTTGGGGATTTTCTTTTATACCATGAGTGGCTTTTAAAATTTTCACATTTCATGGTCCGGGTACGCTTTCGTACATTTAAGTCATTGACTTTTTGCTCAGAACTTTATGCAGTTTTCTTAATATTGTTTGTATGTTTCTAAAATATTTAGACAATGATCGTGTTCTCTTTGAGGTGTATTTGTTTTCAACACATATTTGGCGATACAGTCCTCTGTATATGGTGGATTATAAAAACTATGTTTGGAATCCCTCATTTGCAAAAGGCATTGTAACACCCCTAACTCATATCCGACCCGAATACAAGTCCGAGGTGTCACATTGACCTTTTAAAACATGTACTTGTGTAAAATAGTGAGTAATTTAAAACTTTTATAACATATAAATTACTAATTTACATAAAAGACATTTTTATTATTACAAAACCAATCAGAGCGTGTATATTTCACTTATTTATTTACATATAACTATTCGAAACATTTATAAAATTGTTCATAGCTTAAACAATATATTCTTTTGAAAACATGCCAACTAGAACTTTATATACTAAAATACATATTATTCACATCTTTTCTGATCTGACCTTTAGTAAGGAGAACTGACCTGTCTTGCTCCACATTGCTCTTTACTCTTCTCGAAACCTACGCATAAATCACTTACACGCTAAGTCAAAGACTTAGTGAGGCATATAAACATATAAGGTAAACGGTAACTAATAATCATACCTAAACAATTACTACTATCATTTCATACCACTCATACTTTTACATGTAACAAATATATGCATACATATATGTCATTATCATTCATATCTCTTATCTCATGTTCCTATGATCTCTTATGTCCATATCATATAACATATATCATAACCAATTGCACATATACATATCATGTCATGTAAACCATAGATATATACTATCATAAAACACGTACACCCAAGCAACTATATTATCATCTTCATTTCTTTCTTATTTTATCACTATCATTGATTCCTTTCATCATATGGTCTTATAAGTTACCATTTGTACAATCAATATCATACATGAAATTCCACAAGGAAACAAACATATTATCATATTACTTTATTAATATTATCTATTTAATAGCCTATGATACACATGTGAGAACTAAAGATATGCGAGTACATAGAGGTTGTGCACTAATGCTGTCACCACAGCTCATATAATTGCACCGAAGTGCTGCGTAGAATTGCACCGTAGTGCCATATAATACTGTCCATAAGGACCACATATCATTCCTTAAGAATCATATACATATACTAGGGATCAAGTATGTGTCTCACCAGACTTCACACATGTTCCAAAGAATACATATATGTCCCGAAAGACCACATATCATTCCTTAAGAATCATATACATATGCCAAGAAACAAGTATGTGTCTCACCAGACTTCACACATGTTCCAAAGAATACATATATGTCCCGAAGGACCACATAGACCCTCGACTCTTGGCATGCCAACTATACCCCTAGCTCTCATGACACATAACATGGGCATTATCTTTTATATCCTTTTACATATTCATGTAACCATATCATATATTCATATAAGCTCATGGTTTCATTCACATATACATGTAATCACGTAGTTCATGTCAATTCTCATATGAGTTCATATTCATATAAACATAGGATTCACCCTCATGTATCATAGATACTTTCTCTTTCATATGGCTCATAACATTTCTCATGTGTTCATATGACATGTAAATCATTGTCATCTTATCATGTTATCACATAAACATATCATCTTACAATACATACAAAAACATCAATACCTATATTCACATATACCTATCATTTCATTATCCTTATTATTATTCTTATCATCACCATTAATCCCTTTTACTTACTATATTCATATCAATAACACATATACTCATGCACACATATAAATCATAACAAATACATACTTCTATGAATTCATGTTTTTCACTATTGGAAATAGACTTATCACAAGTCTTATTTTCCCTTGAACCTCATATACTAGAGAATGTGCACTCACCTTAGCCTTGTTTGCTTTGAATCAATCTTAATCCTTAGATTGTTCCGGAAAAAGCTTCATTCTATATCTACATCATAATAATACATTGATACATATCAGTATACTAATTGATATCTTATAAATTGTCACTTCTTAGGCTAAAAGAAAAGTCCATTTCATCTTTTAATGAAGGTATACATCGATGCACTACACAGTGTATCGATGCATTCCCTATCGGTGCATCGATGCACTACCTGTGTATCGATGCATTCCCTATCGGTGCATCGATGCACTACCTGTGCATCGGTGCATAAAATACATTCGATGTTTGTTTATTACTGGGATGCATCGATGCATGAATTGCATTCGATGTATTTATTTTAAAAGAGTGCATCGATGCACTACCTGTGCATCGATGCACTATCTGTGCATCTATGCACTACCTGTGCATCAATACACCTTGAAACGATTTCTGGGTTTTAACCTTGATGCATCGATGCACTATGAATGTGCATCGATGCACTCTGCCCAGAACCTCTTTTTGAACCCGAAAATTCATTCTTTTTGGATTAAATCCTTCATATTTCAACCCCTTTCATATTCCTAACTTTCATATACATACTTAAACTCATTAATATTCATTTATCTCATCTTTAACCTTAATATCCTCTCCTCTTTAGGAATTTCAAGAATCATACCCTATTTTCCACATGTTTCAAATCCAATTCTAACACTTAATACTTCTTAATTAAGCTGATGACAAGCCAAATTTAGCTTCAAGTTCAACTTATCAACTCCATTCTGGAAATTCACTCAAGAACTTCAAATCTTTAATCTTCCCTAACTCATTTATCTTTTGATTTTAAGATAACTTAAGCTTTCCTTAAGCTTAAGTATCACCTAAGAATCATAACCCAACTTTTAATTCAACAAATAACCAACTAATTAAGAAACTCACCTTTGAGCTGGAGCTTCACGCATAAAGAAGAAATGAGGAGAAGAGAATTCTGGAAACATTGTTTCGCTCATTTCCCACGTGTAAAATATATATATCCCCACTATCACATTTTTTTAATTCCTTAAATGATCAAATGACCATTTTACCCTTTAGTTCCTTTAATAATTACTAATAACTTTTAGGAAATACTTCCAAATAAATCACTGAACTAATCAATTCTTCTACTTTAGTCACCAAATTCTGAAACTTTATAATTTGGTCACTAACCCATAGTTTGGGATGTTACAAATCTCCCCTCCTTTTAAAAATTCGTCCTCAAATTTTCACTGCACATCCTGAGAAGAACATATCTTCTAACGTTCTCATGCTGCTTTCTGAACTTAATCTTTTGTATCATCTTTAATAACTTGGTTCTTATATTTTCAATTATTCGACTACCTTTTTACTTTATATCTCCTATCATGTCACTTATCAGATAGACAATAACATTAATTCTTATTACTCAAACTCATAAATCAATCAAATTCCTTGTCAATCTTCAATTGTCTTTCAAGAATCACCAAACTTTTATTTCATCCTTACTTGACTGACTCCAAAACTTCTTTAATACATATAAATCTTTATTCATTTCTCTGACTACATCCACTTGATCAAGAAACATAACCTTAAATCTTCATTATAACTGATTAAATACACTTTGCATAACTAAACAATTTCTCATATTACCTGACATACTTTTCTTACTTCTGGTTAAACTTATAACCTATATCTCAACATAATCTTTATCACATCTAATTCTTTAAACTTCATCCTTTCATTTTCTTCATAACTCAAAATCTTCTTATACATCAATCATATCTTTCTTTCATGTTCACATACTCTTTTCCTATCACTTAAACTTATCTCTGATTACCAGCCTTTATTATATCTTTATAACTTTACTAATCAACTTTACTTATACAGAACCTCATTCTTATCGTATCTTGCT